TCTCTCTCTCTCTCTCTCTCTCTCTCTCTCTCTCTCTCTCTCTCTCTATATATATATATATATATATATATTTATCATAATTTCCATTTTGCTAGAAATGCAGGACGCGTGCTTTGAATTATTATTCATCTATTATCAATCCATAGAACGCGAATTCACGCAAATATGAAAAAAGTAATTTCTTCTAACATATAATAAAGGAAAAAAAGAATACGATTTCTCGTTTCTAACGATGTAATTTGATATGACCGTAACGAGCAAACAAGAGTCTCAAGAGCAGTTCTAATCGAATGTCAATACGAATATTCTACGACGAAACTGTGCCGATTGCGTTTCTCCGGTTGCTTACATTAAACATAGTAGTAACTCTGATTTATAGTCGCCAGTAACGAATGGAGGAGCCGAGGAGGTGCAGGTCAACGCAGCCTATTGCGGCTAACGCCTTGTAAAACAGGACGTATGCTCCGGGAATGCGGCCAAAATGATGATTGTCGTTTAATAAACTTATTAAGTGGAAACGGCAGCATCTTGGTATCGGAGCCCGAGTGCTTCTCTAGTGCTAACTAATAAAAATGAGGCGGAACGCTTATCGTGAACTAGGTCGTCGCGGCTCGCGTTTCAATGGATCGGATGCATTCGCGTTCAACACAAAGATGCGTACGTGCGGTGACCGTAACAAAAAGAATTACTCGGTGCCAGAAGGCTCTACACAGCTTTATAAGTTCTTACACTCTAAAGGCCTCTGATTAAACGAAATAATTAAAATGAAATCAGAAACGTGTGCCAGTTCTTATAGAAAAGAACTTTTCTCAATAAAAGCATTCTTTTAATTCTTTTAATTTAATTTTAAAGTTTGTTTCGTGCTATATTGCGTCCCTTTTAACAAACAAAATTCATTGTCCATTTCTACCAATGACGGTTAACTTTAATTTCGGTTTAACTCACTTTTTATCCTTTTCTAGTTCTAAAAGTCAGTTAAACCCCGAGATTAATGTTAATTTATATTGATGGAAATGGACATCAGTTGTATTCAAATCAGTTATCCAATTAAGATAGCTAATTACCTATTAGAAGCAAATGGAATTAGATTATTAATTTATATGACAGTCGAAAAAAGGAACAGATAAAAATATGAATAGCGAATAAATTCCGCATCACTTCTCTAAGATAAATTGCGGATTATCTATGTTACGATTAGACTTCAAGAGACCTCGATCCATCGTTACGCAGAAAATTTATGATTAATTAAAAAATCGGGTGTAATGACAACGACGCCTTGATGCATGTCGCATGCAACCCTTAAACGTAAGGTGATGACCTCCATTGTGCGGCGTCATATCGCTTCTGACAGTACGCAGAATAATGGTTCTACGCTGACAATACTGACATATATGGTCTCTCATATAAACTTCCATGAACTCACCGCGACATTATTTAACGAGGACTTTGAAGACACATTCAAATACATAAGTTTTTTCATTTATTGCTAATATTTACAGACGAGAGTGATGAGGCATATTAATGTTAGGATAAGTGAGTGATGAGGCATATTAATTATTATTTAAAATTATAATTTGAAGTTAATTTACAGCTAGATATTATATATATATATATATATATATTAAGCCAAAAAATACAGTTATTATAATAAAAAAACGCTTCGAATGATCATATTAGATACAGATCTCTTCCGAATTTTTTGCTATTATTACTCGAGATTATACATATATACATATGTATATATTGTATATGTACATACAGATTGATAACATTAGACAAAACTGCGAAGGATGAAAAGAATAAAAAATATATAAATATATATATAAATTATTTATTTCTTTAAAATTAAATATTCTTTAAAAACAAAGTTTAATTTGAAAAAATTTGTTGGATTACGTTTTATCCCTTAATATTCGCAATATCAGAATTACACTTGGATTTTATTAAAATGATAGAAAACAAGAGTCATTTATTCCAAAATCTTATACGTACATATGTTTCCTGTCCGATGATTAATCCTCTTTTCTCTTCCATTCCCTATACAAAAGAAGAAAAGAATATTATTGATGAACGAGAGTAAACAAAGAAAGGAAGGAAACAAAGAAGGGTACAGACCAGGGGGAGAACGGCGAGAGGGTGGCCGCGGAATAAGACGGCGGGAGAACCACGTGCATCTTGTAAAATGAAGGATGATGACTTCCCCTACATCATGCAGAGCATCTGCTAAATAGATGACACGCCGGTTACTACGAGTCTAGTTGCCCTCAGCCTCGCGATGCAAGCGAATCGGGACTAGTATCTATAATACTTTCTCCGTTCTCCAGTGGAGTTTTTCCACCCCTGCCGGATAGAGGAACTTCACGATGAGACGGCAGGCTTTAGAGCTGATCACGAGTCTGCTCGTGGTCCAGCTGCTGCTGCCCTTGCCGGATCAAGTGAACGCCGTGAAGAACCGATTGAGGAAACAACGATCTAAGCCGCAAGAGCACCAGGCTCATCACTCTCAGCAGCCTGGCAACAATTATGATGAATATGACTATAATTACGAAAACTACGACGAATACGAGGACAAGAACGGTGAGTATTCCGTGAGTGTTCCAAAAAATTAGACTATGTAATAATAAATAAAAGAAAGGAGAGAAATTTTTAATTTAACAATATCTTTTTTTTTTTTACTAATTTCTTCTATGAGGATACACACGTTAGACAACATATTTAAGATTTTTTTTAAATAGATAATAGTGATTAGTATTACTATAGAATAACGACGAGTCTCGATTCCCACCTGTGCGAAAAATCAGATATAGAATATTTGATTTAATTTCTATAATTCAAATTAACACCAAATTAACAGAATTAAGATTGTTTTAAATAAAACTGCATCTTTTTATCAAAATTAAGTTGAAAGATTAGAGGAAATTCTTACTTTTCAAACGCCTTTCAGACTTTGTATCTTTTATTTTGTATATTTTTTGCCTTGTTCAATAATATGCAAAAGTCTATTCTATTCTATAATTATCATAATAGCAACGTAATTTTATCTAAAAATGAGTAAGAATGTAGTTATAAATGGAGAACAATTCTTCGACAATTGTCTCGAACCGCCGCGCGCCGGAAGACTTGCGTCACAGATTAATCTCATTAAGGCGCCGTATGAAATAATTAATCTCTCGTTTTAATCAGCGCAATCTAATTAATACCATTTATTTCAATCTATTAATTGCAAATGCAACTTACTACGACCCACAGCTAGAGATAGCTTCCGGATTAGCTTCTGTTTCCTTGCGGGTGTTAGAGCTATAATATGTTCCGAACATTTGCACGATTATTTGTTGCAATAACAATTTTTCGCAAACAATAATAATTTTTTAGTCTTTTTCGATTTAGTAACAATAAGAATATTATCTGTTTAGAGACTACATCAACAACGTTACCATCACTAATAATACCATCAGATGCCACGCGACTTTCGGGTAAGCGTGCGAAAACGTTTTACACATTATTATAACACAATAAAAATCATTATGAAGTTATTTTCGATAGTTGTTATAAATAGATCAATTATCATGAGCGATGGCATGTAATTATTTAATATAGGATGGTCCGAAACACCGACCGAAACACTCTTGAGACAATCAGAACCTACACACTTACCGGCTCCCACGCAATTTTATGATCATGGTATGTATAGAGTTAATTTAAAAATTATTTTTTTGTAATAAAAAACGAAAGAGAATAAGTAGATGATTAGAATAAAATACTTTTTTATTCGCGTTCTGTGATATCTCAATTTTGATTATTTGCATTCTACAGATTTAGAGGAGACCAGTCCTACATCTGAACGGAATTACTCAGTAAGCATTACTCAGTACCTATTTGGTAATTACTCAGTAACTATTTGGTAATAAAAAAATTAAAGAAATCGGATTCTGTAAGGAATAGTGATTGTTACGTTTCTTTTCAACAGGTTTCACCTACGGAGATTTTACCGGGTGAGAGTAACATATATAGTTCTGTGGCGATACCAGGACCACGAGTAAGTAATTGTTTGTAAACTTATAATTATAATAAATATAGTTATCTAAAAAAATAAAAATTTACAAGAAAGTAACTTACAAATTAGGGTCAACCTGGTCGACCTGGAGATATTGGTCGTCCCGGTGATGCGGGATTTCCTGGACAACCCGGTACGCCTGGGACCCCAGGGCCACCTGGACCTCCAGGACCTGTACCTGATGTATAAGAAGTTTAAAACTGTTTTTATTTTTTTATCGTTTAAATATACGTACAAGTCATTTATTAATAATCTATATTCAATATGTGTTACATAATTTATATTAATGTATAATCATTTATTAACATACCTATAAATGTTTATAATAATAGGTATCTCTATATTATCAACAATTGGCTTTGTCTCAAGCAAATGAAGATAAAGGCCCGACAGGTGCAGCGGCGTCATTGTATGGGCCAGAAGCATTAGCTTACATTCAGGCGCAAGTAGGTCCGATGGGTCCGCGAGGCCCTCCAGGTAGGCGATAATTCTTTTAATAATTTTGTTTAATCTTATCTAAATAATTTTTTTTTTAAGTAACAAAATTGATTTAACAATTTATCCAATTTTTATTTAAAGAATATCGAAATGTCATTTAAAAATAATTTTATTTATCGTTTCGATTTAGGTTCGCCTGGTGCTCCTGGTCCTCAAGGTTTTCAAGGTACACGAGGTGAAACTGGTGAATTGGGTTCCCCCGGTCCTCCTGGCATGCCAGGTCCTAGAGGCTTGCCAGGATTACCCGGAAAGGATGTAAGATTATTTTTAAGTAATTTTATATGGATTTAGTTTGTTTCTTTAGAATAAATTTATGTTCTCCTACATTTATTTAATTTGATTCGCAAGTTATAAATATATATAAATAACTATATATTATATTTAAATAAAATATTTAATATTTTATTAATGACAGGGTATCAGTGGAGAAGATGGCGAAACCGGTCCACCGGGATCGTCTGGTCCTGTGGGACCACGTGGTCCTCCAGGAATACCTGGGCTTCCAGGGTTAAAAGGCCATCGTGGTTTCCCAGGTCTAGACGGTGCTAAAGGTGAGCAAGGAGCTCCTGGTGAAAAAGGATCCATGGGCTCGCCTGGGCCGATGGGACCAGTAGGACCGATGGTATGTAAATATTATCATCTGTATCACACGGAATCTGTATATACTTAAATTTTAATAAATTTATAAAAATATATTGTTTAGTCATGAAGTAAATTTTAATGTTAACCTTTAACTGCATGGGCGGGGTCTGGCTGGACCGCTGGACGCTATATTTTTGTATTTTCTCAGTTATGCGAGATATCAGTTGTGTGTTTTATTTATTATGTACTCTAGAACTTACATATCTTACATTACTTTTAGAGAAAACAAAAAAAAAACTTGTGGGAATCTCTGCAGATCCCGCCTGTGACAATTACTAAAAAATAACGCCCGTATTTAAAGGTTAAGAACGTATTAGAAATCATAAAACATTTTTCTGCGCAAATGTTGGTTATTGCTGACGCAGGGTCCAGCAGGGCCTCGTGGTGAAAGAGGTAGGGAAGGTTCATCGGGTCCTCCTGGATTGAGAGGCCTTGACGGAATTGCTGGGCCGCCTGGACAACCCGTAAGTCAATTATTCAATTTACACACAATTTAGAGATTGATGAATTAAGGTATACTTCAAAGATCTTTGAGAAATTATCATTCTTTCTAGATGTTCATTCATCTTAATAATGTTTTCTGTTGATTATGTTAATGTTAATAAATGTATACTTATCACGTTTATTTAAATATACTAATATCGTTTGTAGGGTGCTATAGGAAAACCTGGCTCACCAGGTTTTCCAGGAAATCCTGGAATAAAAGGTGATCAAGGACCACAAGGACCAACAGGAAGCCAGGGTTTGCAAGGTCCGCGAGGTAAGACATTTCAATTCTTATTTAAATAAAGTTGCTGATTTTTTATAAACATATGTTATATTGAGAAGATAATTATATTTATTTTTTCGACTTTAATTAATATATTTTATAACAAAGGTGAAAGTGGCCGCCCAGGACAACCTGGTGAGACTGGTCCACAAGGTCCTCAAGGCAAAGATGGAATTTCTGGTGAGAAGGGAGTCACTGGAGCAACAGGACCCGTTGGTTTGCCCGGATTTCCAGGTGCTCGAGGTCAACCCGGAACGCCGGGTAATCCTGGTATCCCTGGCGCTAAAGGAGCACCCGTATGCATAATTAGCATACCATTCAAGAACTGTTTAAGTTACTTAGATTGTATAAAATCTTGGCAATTCTTGCAGGGCCTTCCTGGTGAAAGAGGTTTTAAAGGAGACGCTGGAGTGAAAGGTGATGCAGGAATGCCTGGTCCGCGTGGACTTCCTGGACCTCCTGGGAGCGAAGGCAAAAGGGGCAAGAGAGGAATACGTGGACCAATCGGCGCTGCGGGGCCTACTGGAGAACGTGGCGCACCTGGAGCGCGTGGTCTTCCTGGCTCGGATGGTCCTGTCGGGCCTCAAGGTATTGCTTATTATTGTAAAATTAAAGTGTCTTTAAAAAATTTCAAGATGCTGCAAAATTTCAAGATGCTGCTGTAAATACCGTTACATATTTTGCGTTTCTTTATTAATAATAATTTGAATATTTTGTTTTGTTATCCTACTTTTTATGAGAGTTACAATTAGAAAAAAATGTTTTTAAATAATCAAGAGACACGGTAGTGTCTCGCGCCAAGTACACACGGAGCGAGACCGACCGTGACTCTTTTACGCGACGCGACGGGTTGCGAGTATATAAAAATATACCAACCGGTTAGAATAATATTTATATTTTTTATATTTTACTCACTCTAAATTTTAGTTTTTAACTTTAATTTTTGGTTAATAATAGAATTATTTAATAATTCTGTTGAGTTGTATAACAAAATCTATATATTCTTTATTTTCCAAAGACTCAATAAATAAAATATAAGTAAAAACATAATAAATAAAAAAAAACATAATTAATATAATAATTACAAGTAATCAAGATTATGGTTAAATAATAGATTAAATAATTGTCAGGGCAACCTGGTGATCGTGGTCCTGCCGGAGCTGTTGGACCGAAAGGCACTGCTGGAGATCCTGGACGACCTGGGCCGCCAGGATTACAGGTATATAGTAATATTTCATCATTATGTTTTGTAAAAGTATTATAATTGAAGTATAACTCTTGAATAAAAATTTCAGGGTGCGCGTGGTTTAATGGGTAGGTCGGGAGCTCCCGGAAAATCAGGTAATCCTGGAGAACGTGGAATTCAAGGTGCGGATGGCAAGCCTGGAGAACAAGGGCCGCCTGGACTGCAAGGCCTACCAGGACCATTAGGACCAACAGGGGAAAGAGGATATCCTGTAATTATTAGTTCTTCATAATAAAAGTATATACACTAGCAAATATAATCTAATATAACTTAAATATGAAAACATTCTCATATACACAATATAAAAATGAAACGTAACAATATGAGTATCAATACAAATTTTAACATTATATTATCTCTAATTTTACGATAATTTTTTAAACTTTTATTGTATTAGGGAGAACGCGGAAAAGATGGTGAACCGGGCAATCCAGGTTCGCCTGGTCCAAGAGGAGATACCGGTAAAGAAGGGGCTCCAGGAGTACAGGGTTTACCAGGTCCATCGGGAAGTGACGGCGCGCGAGGTCCTCCGGGACTCACCGGTCCTAGAGGTTTTCAAGTACGCAACATAGAAATATATTGCATTTCTCATAGTGAGAAGGCTGAAGCGATGTAATTTATCGTGCAATTAAAACATGCGCTTGTTTACAGGGTCTACCAGGAGCCGCCGGTAATCCGGGTGTTCCAGGCAAGGACGGAGAAGCGGGAGTACAAGGACGTCCCGGTCCGCCGGGATTAACCGGCAATAGAGGCGAGAGAGGACTTCCGGGAGAAAGAGGACTTATGGGACCCCCAGGACTTATGGGTCCTAGAGGAGAAACGGGAGCACAGGGTGTTGATGGTCTCATTGTATGTTGTTATTATTTTTTATCTATTTATCTATATTTATCATTACATATGGAACATATATAAAAAGCGTTCAAAGTTACAACAAAAAGCCTATGATTAAAAATAAATTTAATCTTAGTCTATTTCTTAATTATAAAAGATTTTGTAATATGTCTAATTTTATTTTCATTCTTTAAAATTAGTTTTAATAAAAATGATTTTTTAAATTTAAAAATAACTTTATATTTACATTAAATTTACGAATTGTTGATTTGATTCGACGACTTTAAACACTTTGTATGATAGCGTGCGACAGTTCGTGTATATCACTATGAGAGATATGAATTTTATATATTACATTCCAGGGTTTACCAGGACTTAAAGGAGATAAAGGAAGTTTTGGTTCGCCGGGGCTACTAGGACTTCCTGGTGTGAGAGGATTACCCGGAGAACCTGGACAGAAAGGAGAGAGGGGTACACCTGGACCAATCGGCCCCGAAGGTCCATCAGGTAGTAATTTATGTTACTTATACTTAAATCGGTGATATTTTATGTGTAAAATATTAATATCAATCTAATATAATAATATTTTGTCAAAAACAATTTTATTAAAAAATATTAATATTTTTTTCTTTCAATATCACAGGACATATTGGAGAGCGTGGTCCACAAGGAGAAGTTGGACCTCCTGGCCCTCCCGGGGAACCAGCAGAACGAGGCGATCCAGGTCCTCCTGGTCCTATTGGTGAGACCGGAGCATCTGGAAATCCAGGAGAAAGAGGACCTCATGGATTACAGGGCTCGCAAGGTTTTCCAGGTCCACAAGGATTAATCGGACTTCCTGGTTTGAAAGGCGATCGCGGATATCCTGGCTTAAAAGGAGAACAAGGAAATCTGGGATTGCCTGGTAATAAACAGATCATTCAAAATTGTTATAATTAATAATAACATGATGTTTATGAGATATTTTATATTCTTGTTATATATAAATATGTACATATATTTAATAAAATATATTATGTACTAATACATAATAAAGTTATTTTTTATGTGTACACAAAATATGTAAATTACAATGATTAACAGGCAATCGCGGCGAAATCGGATTACCTGGACCTATTGGGCTCACTGGTGCTAAGGGAATTAGAGGCGAACCTGGTGCACGAGGCGAGCCCGGTTTAATGGGCCCACCTGGTATTACGGGACATGTTGGACCATCAGTAAGTCATTAAATTCTGCGAATCGTATTAAATTTTACTAAACAGATGTGAATGGTATATGCTGTTATAGATAAATAAAACATCGGGCACTAAAGAATAAATAAAGTATTGGATTTAAAATGTTATAGGGACCACCAGGAAATGTGGGACCACCTGGTGCTCCTGGATTTCCGGGTATTAAAGGCGATGCAGGCGATGTTGGACGTCCTGGAAATCCAGGTCCAATCGGTAACCCTGGTCCACCTGGAATAGACGGAATTAAAGGCGAAAGTGGATCCCCAGGATCTCAAGGACCAATGGGTCCTCAAGGACCTCAAGGTTTACCCGGCGAGAGAGGTTTACCAGGCTTACCTGGTTCTGCTGGTCCTATAGGAAATAGAGGATTACGCGGAGCTCCTGTAAGTAAAAATATGTAGTTATACTTGAAAAAATTTGTGCAGTTTTATAGTTAATTATATTTTTATTATATCTTTATTATATTATATATTATTAACATATAGCATATAAATGCTATATTTTGTAAATAATTTAATAAAAAAATAATTTATTTGTATTGCAGGGTGAAACAGGACAACCCGGAAAACCAGGAGCGGAAGGTCCATCCGGACCTCCCGGATTAATAGGTCCTCCAGGTTCTCCTGGTCATGTAGGAGAAGCAGGACCAGAGGGACCAATTGGAAAACCAGGACCACCGGGTATAGGAGGCCGACCAGGTGACAAGGGACCTCCTGGGGTATCTGGGGCTGCAGGACCGTCAGGTCCTCCTGGATTACCAGTACGTTATGACTTCTACTTTCTTTATCTCTTCCTATATAAATATAATAAAGTAGTAATATCATATCAGTAATAATTTATTCGTTCCTTTTAATAGGGACCACCTGGATCCGTTGGACCTACCGGACTCACTGGAGAACGTGGCCCGAAAGGTGAAACAGGACCGCAAGGTGTAGAAGGGCCACAGGTAATATACATACTTTCAATTAAATTAATGTAACTCAATATAATAACTTATTTAATCAATTAAAATTAATTAAAAATAAAATTAATAGATTAATTTTAATTAAATTAGTTTTAAGTCTATTAAAAAAAAACTAAAATTTCTTTATAATATAACTTACATATAAATTTAATCTTGCATATATGTATTATAATATTTTTAGGGACCACGAGGAAAACCTGGAACTACGGGTCTCGAAGGTGCAAAAGGCGATCGCGGAGAAGAGGGGCAGAAAGGAGCCAAGGGACATCGGGGATTTACTGGTTTGCAAGGATTGCCCGGGTCTCCTGGTTTAGTAGGAGAAAAGGGTGAATCTGGTCTGCCAGGACCTCCCGGTAAAGACGGAGAGCCAGGTATTAGAGGTAATCCTGGACGGGAGGGTAATCCAGGACCTATCGGACCTGCGGGAAATCCCGGACCAAGAGGTCCAGCTGGGGAAGAAGGTCGCCATGGGTCACCAGGTCTTCCAGGACCACCCGGACCACCTGGTCCGCCTGGAGAAATAGGTTTCGGATACGATGCTGCATCTCTAGCAGCACTTATAGGTATGTTTCAATTAACTCAAATCATAGTGTCGAGATAATCTAATTAATTAACAGGTATTATATAAAAGATGTCTAAAGTCATCAGAACATCGAAACTAAACGTTATTATACATTTTTTATATAATTTAAATTCTTATATCTCTAATATATTAAAAAAACTAAACTAAAAAATATTTAATAAATTATTATAAATTATTATAATGTTAAAAACATTATTTATTGTAGGACAAGGCCAAACTAAAGGACCAGATCCACTTGGTGATGAACCACCAAGAATATTTGGTAAAGATATCCCTGAAAAGGAACGAAGAGAGTTGCTTTTGAAAGCGTACGAAAATCTAAAATCGTCGTTCCAAAAATTGGTGAAGCCGGATGGTGAAAAAAATTCGCCTGCTAAAACCTGTCGAGATCTATTTGTTGCTTACCCGGACAAATTATCTGGTGAATCTTAAGCATCACAGTTCATAAAATTATAACTACTGTACTTTCTGTTTATTTTGATTTTTAAATTTTGTTTTCTTGAAATAAAAAATGTAAAATAAGTAAAATAATATATAAAAATATTAAATATATGAAAACTAATTAAATTCCTTTGTAGGAAGAAACTGAGTTAAGAAAAATTGTAATTAAAAGTAAATCAAAAGTATAGTACTAGTACATTTCATATTTAAATATTAAAATTAATATAAATTTATGCATCATTAACAGGCGAGTACTGGATTGATCCAAACGAAGGAGATATTCGAGACGCGATCTTGGTATATTGCGATGCCGAGAAACGTGCAACTTGCATATTACCGAATCCATCGCGTTCACCAGAAATGACTCACATTACTGATCAACAGGAGACCTGGCTAAGCGAAATAGATGGCAGTATGAAGGTTACATTATATTCTACATACTTCCCTTAATTCCAATTTTTAATTTTTACAACAAAAACAATAATGAATAAACTTTCTTGATTATAACTGGCAAATTTATTAATGTATTAACACATTAAATGTATTAACACATTAATAAATTTGCCAGTTATAGTCAAGAAAGTTTATTCATTATTGTATTTTATTCACTGGCAAAGAAAATCTCCTATTTATTGTTAAAAAAATATAAAATTTTTTAATAGATAAATATTTATAAAATAAATTTCAATTATTGCATTTAGATTACATACAAAGCGGACAGTAATCAAATTAGTTTCTTGCAATTGCTCTCCAAACACGCGAATCAGAACATTACGTATCACTGCAAAAATAGTGTGGCTTACTTCGATTATGAGAAAAAGACGTACAGAAAGGGCTTGAAGTTTTTGGCTTGGAACGACGTTGAATTAACACCACGAGGCAATCAGCGTCTTAGATATGAAATGATAATGGATGAATGCAGGGTAAGTCAATTTACAATACAACAATGTTTTCGATTTGATTTAACATAGTTTTTTTAAGAGTAAATTGTACATTGTCTATTATGTAACATTAATTAAAATGAGAATATATAATATATATCGCATGTTATTATTTTAATTAATTTTATAAAATGTACGTCGATAAAATAAGTAAATTTAAGACCACATAAAATAACTAATAACTTAAAAAAAAAAAGATGCCAACAGTACGCGGTGTTCCCAAACGGTCACCCATTTAAGTACTAACCGCGCTCAACGCCGCTTGACTTAAGTGATCGGACGAGAACTTGTAGGTTTGGCGTGATTTGACCGTTGACGAAAGTATCTTTCTTAGGAAGAGAAGATACACTTCTTCATCAACTTTCCTGGTTATAGAACGAGATATAGAACGATTGTATGTTCGACGTGTTTATATTATAATAAATGTATTATTAGTATCGTTTGTATTATAATAATTATATATTGTAATAAATGTAACAGGAAAATTATTATTTCATGTTACATTGTCATGTTACAATTATTATTACAATATATAATTATTATACAAACAATATAATAATACATTTATTATAATATATACACACCGAACATACAAGTTCTCGTTTTACAACCAGAAAAGTTGATGAAAAAGTGTATCTTACCTTTCTAAGAAAGATACTTTCGTCAACGGTCAAATCACGCCAAACCTACAAGTTCTCGTCCGATCACTTAAGTCAAGCGGCGTTGAGCGCGGTTAGTACTTAAATGGGTGACCGTTTGGGAACACCGCGTACTGTTGGCATCTTTTTTTTTTTAAGTTATTAGTTATTTTATGTGGTTTTAAATTTACTTATTTTATATCGTTATAATTTTTAAATTTTACATGTCATTTCTAACTTTATAAAGAATTATAGTTATTTAGTAATTGGCTAAATTTGACTTAAATTATATCAAAATACAGACGTTTGTTTAAATTTCACAACACTAAATATACGTAAAAAAATAGAATACACACACACATACATACTAGGCAATAAAACATTATTTAAGTTGCTTCACATGTGTTTTGTATTCGTAGTTCCATCAAGACCGCTGGGGTAAAACTATCGTCTCATATGAAACGGATAAACCCGTAAGACTTCCCATCTTAGACGTGGCTTTGCGAGATATCGGGAAACCCGAACAGAGTTTCTCCATTGAGATCGGTGCAGCGTGTTACGATTAAGACAAAGTACGACATTGCGATTGTTATCTCATGCCTACAACACCGTCGTCTTCCATTGTATAATCCTAAAAAAAGAATTGTCTTCCAATTTTAAGGAGATAACTGTATATTAATTTTATCTCAAGTGGTAATTAAAATGTGAAACGTAATTAAACATTACTTTACAAGTGGCAGTTAAACATTACTTAACTTAATCTGTAATAATTTTACGTCGCTATTTTTTACTCAAATTCTCAAGTAGTGAAAATAATTTAGGAATATTTAATAAAATTATCTCTAAGTTATATAATTATAGTATCTTTTCTTTTTAGGATGAACGCAAAGTTAAATAAAAATAAAAAAAAAGATGTAATTTGAAGAAATGTATCACTCGGATATTTTATAATATATATACCAATTAGAAAAATTCTCAGCGTATTAAATATTATCCAATTAAGTATTAAGTATTGAAGTGTAAAAGTATTAGCGCGACAACTATAGATTTAGTTTTATACTCAACACGCACAATGCCGAAGTATTATTGTGTACATAATAACGCGTAAAAGAGTCACAGTGGTCTCGCTCCGCGCGTACTTGGCGCGAGACACTTGTCTCTTGATAGAGAACATATTTCATTTATGTCATTTTTATTCCATACAGCTATTTAGAAAAAATAAAATTGTGCATAATCAAAGTTATATTAATTTAATATTTCTATTTTCTAGTCCCCTACGCAGAGATCTTTTGCAGCGCGCAATTTTTTTTTGTCAATTTGTAACGTTTCACACACGGTCTTACAAGACCGTGGTTTCACATTTATTTCTTCCTGTATTACTAATATATTAATTGAACATAATTCGAGTATATTTTCTTTAACTAGGAAAAACGAAGTTCTTTACAGTTATTATTTCATTTTTCGTTTTCCTTCGCCTTTCTTTAAAATGTATAAAACATGTGCTTTCTTCATTCTTAATAATGTAAAAAAAAATATGCTGAAAAACCGTATTTATTACCTAAGAAGCGCATTAAGAAATATGTACATACAAACTACATTATCTGCTGAATAAGTTCCATTTAATCATGAATTCCGACGCATCTATAGTTACAGTTGGCGCATGCGTGGATGGAACTTTCCTCGTGACATCAAACACACTGACCAGTGCTGTATCAAAACAATTTCACACCTAAGAATGAGAACGAAATATGTGTGTAGTCGTATAAAATTTATGTTTACAATTAGGTTTCTGAGCTTCTTTTTATTTAGTACCATATTGAGACAAAAATAGTATTAAAATATATTCATATTATTCATATCTAAATTATAAATTATTTGTTACATATACCTTTTTAGCACTGTTAAAAATATCGTAAAAATATTACGTTAATAGAGACGACATTAAAATTCGGTAAAACCTCTTTCTATTTTTTATATTAAGTTATAATTGTGATACAGTATTAACCATTATATATAACATGATTGTATAATAAATTATATAAATTATGTAAGATACACAATTTATATAATTACAATTTACAATTATATTATAACTTTTTATAACATATTAACAATGTTAAGACTACATATATCAAAACGGATAAATTCAGTGTCTGTCTGATGTCATCCTCTGCTATTCATGGCATTCGTGCCGCGGCGATACTTGGTGGCGAAAGGGAGCAAGGAGCATGACACGTCGCGGCGCGGTCGGCACGGCGGCAGGGCTCCCCTTACTCCAATCAACTCAGTCGTGCTTCAACCGTTTGCGTTACGCGTAGTGTCGTTCGTCGTGGGTAACGCGATCGGGATCGTCCCGTGACGAGCGAGAGAGAGACGCGAATCCGCGAAAGTCCAGGGCATCAAACGTCGCCGCCGACGATATTAGCTCGCGGTTAAGTCGGATTCCCAGGTACGAATCTCTCGAACATCGAAATACACGTGGCAGTGTTTTTCGCTACGACCACGCGTCCCGCTGGACGCCCCGCGCCCGTGCCTTCCTTCTTCCGTTTTATCGATCCCCATAAAGCCATTTTCGCGCCCAATCTTTCCGACGGGCGCGACGCGAGCATGGGTGTGAAAGAGAAAACCGGTTGCAGGTCGCGGGTTAAAAGATGATTGACGTTGGTCTATTCGAGCTTGTCTGCGAGTCGCCACTGACCCGTGAATGAAAGCTTTTCGCCGCTTATTACCGCGGCGTCAGCAGCTCATTGTGTTCAATCGTTATTGCCCTTAGCGACGACAGAATTATTTGGACGTTTCGGAGCGGCGCTATTTATTAGGACGATATCAGATCCGTCGTTTCAAAAAAGTTTTGCTAATAATGAAAAAATATTCAATTTTATAAAAATATTTAGTATAGCATAAGTATTGTACAAAGTTTAAATTGTAAATATTTAACATAATTTATAATTATACCACAGATTTCAATCTTATAGTTTATGACGATCCGATTATCAATCCGATTTATAATTACAATTGAATAAGAGAGGTGTTATTTGAGTAATTACAGCACTAAAGTCGCAGCAAAGTTAAAAAGTCGTGTTTGTGAAAGAAATAATGAGTTTGTAGAAGAAAAAAATAATGATTTTTTTCCCCTTTGACGTGACTTTAACGATAAATCAAATAGTCATATTTGACGACGTGATATTTATGTTTACCGGCTGACATTGACGAGTCCGGTTTTACATTGTGAATCAATAACATTCGTAAGTGTATATTACGTACCAAAATAAAATTAGAAACGCAACTCTGCCAAATTCAGCGAACGTAATGTCATAGAGAAGGTGTGGCTTATAATATCAATTTGTTTTGTCTAATTATCTATAAATACCATAAATGCGCGTCGAGCATGTAAATTTATCTTACATATAACATTATATATAGGTGTTTAACGTGTTCGTCCACGTGATGTAACGAAGAACAAACCTCTGTACATACGATACGGAGTTATCAGATAATTTTTGCACGAACTGCAAATGTTTTCGATACTAGTGAGATTTTAAAGAAAAAAGAAAACTGAAAACTGAAAAATGGAAGATATTATTTCGTGAACAAAAGTGTCGAACAACACGAAAGTTATTAACGTAACAAAATTGTAATAAAATTGTGAATACATATAGTTTTGCGATTTTACACGTTTTTAGTATTGATAAATTATTTAAAGGAAAGAATCGATAAACCTCTGATTTTTAAGAAGGTATTGTTTCACGAATAAAAAACGCATGGTACCAAAGTTTACATTTATTTACTTGTAAAATGAGATTGCAAACTTATTATTGAGTTTCAACGCGAATTCTTTTGTATTTCTTATTTTATAATTTTGTTCTTATAATTGTTATCACGTGAACAAGACGTACAATTAATGACGTAACATTTTCCCGCAATTGTACACTTGTGTTAATTACATAAGAATGCGAATAATTGCTTTTCGCAGAAGCAGAAGCATGAACGGACCACTTAGAAATATCTAACATAACTCTGATGACGAAAGTTTGAAAATTATTGCGAATTCCGCAATTGTGGAATTGTCTCATATCGCTCAGCTTTTCTTACCGATAGAATCTTTCTGATTGAAATATTCCGCTTTTGCGAAAATATCCCGCAATGTAGACAGCTGTGCGGCCGAGTGTCATAACGTGTCATCGAATCAGTGAGTGATTGTGATTAATTTTATCAACCGTCCGTAGATACGTAATCCATCAAGTGATTCACACATTCACAAGTCGAATAATGTTTGTAAGTGCAAAATCTGTACCCGGAAGTGTCATGTTAAGACAATTTGAAATAAAGTGCTCTTTCATTAGTAGTAGATATACTAGATGAAGGTAACGACCAGTAAGGAACGAGTAAGTTCGATAATTGAAGAATTTGCGAATTTACTGTTTTCAAGGAACTTGGAAAAATAAATTAAAATTTAATTTTCACAATTTCAAATTACGTGTTTTCTCTTTTTCGAGTTTATAAAATTTAATTAATTTATATTTTTTTTAATACAAATTTTACTTGAGAAACATATGCCACACAGAGAATTGGTGACGGAAGAAGAATATTGTTGAACAACACAAGTAGTTGTTTTATTTATGATTTGTCTAATTTATAATTATGTGACAATTAAAATTTGCAAAATACGATATTTTTTTGCAAATATAAGGTTGTTATATCAGTAGCTGTCTGCTCTAATGTCTAGTCACTCAATGGCATTTCTTATAACTGTTTACACATTGTAATTAAAGATGAGGGTTCATATTCCCGGTGTAACATTGCAGCGCTAAACAGATAACTCACTCGGTTTCATGTTTTTTCTTATCTTGCGTCCGATGCTCATTGGCAAACAATAAAGAATTAAAAATGAAATAAAGAGATTCAGCGTTAAAAGCACAGTGTCAACGAAAAGAAAGCTCTGAATAAATGTCTTGAAAATATTGCATTCGAGGTGGAGATCAGCCGATGAACGTTAAAATCTGGCGAACTTATCACATTTTTTCGTATCGATTACGTTAATATTACATAATGTGACACGTAATTATATATCCGTCGTTTTTGTGACTTTTTAATTAAAAAAAAAAAATACTTTTTAAATCTTTTACAAATTTAATTCGCGCATACGTGAGCAAACTATAATATAACTTTTTTTTTAATAAATCGATAAGTTTAGAAATTCAACGATCCAATATTCGTTCGAACACTTGAGATAACTATTTTGATATTCGTCCATGCAGTATACATGTATATTTTCTGTACAATAATAATCAACAAGTACAGCAACAGTTTCAAACGTTCGCTAGTTCCAATTAACGTATTCTTTCAGAATATCTCAACTTACAGCTAACGAGATAAATTCATTAGTAACTTGCAGTTTCCCAAAATTTACAATCAATTCTCACGTATAGATTTATCACGTCAGCATATTATATCATTGCGCAAGTTCGGGCAATGTTGTTGACGGATGAAATATAGCAGGATATGCGCATTACGATAGACCAATACGATACGCCAATACGGAGACTTTAGATCCTATGGAAAATTTACGAGATTACCGAAAAACCAAAATATTGATTAATCTTATTAATGTAAAATAGTAAATAATAAAAGAGGAATAAAGATATAAATAGCACCAAGAAGAAAAATAAAAACTTAATAATAGCTTAAAATAAAAATGCGGTTTTAAAATTAATTAGAATAAAAAATAGATAGAGAGAAACCAGCTGTGATACATGTTGCATCGTTTCCCAATTATTCTCGCTCTTTATCTTTTTCACGTGATGCTAGATTTATCAATTCACAGTTTTATTAACTTTGTGACTTTGATTCTCGTGGATCAGTCGATTCGTCCCGACCCTTGACTGGGGCATTGAAGACGTCTTACGTAATTGAATTGCACGGATTACAGAGTTTCATCTCTTCTATGCTAAGAAGTCTATTAATAAAAAGCAATTAATAAATTTCTTAATAGCAATTTTACTCTATATATAGTTATAGGAGATAAAAAAAAAAAACAGAAATATCTAAAACAGAGGAAAATAAATTTATTGGACGTAAACAAGAACGAAAAGACCAACTCCGAAAATATTTTTTTCAAATATAATTGCCTCAAAGAGAATATAAGCTTTATTTTGCCTTGAGAAATTGACAGTAAAACTTCACAGTAGAATTGTTCAGATTCCTCAGGTTCGTACCTGTTCCAGTTTTAAGTTCACATTGTCACTCATCCTTATAGTCCAGCACGTGGTCACGCGACACAACATTGCGCAAGCCCGGGCGACTCCGATATCGTAATTTAAATATAGAAATCACTGGTGTACGTGCTACGAGCGTAACAGCGGATGTCGCGTGTTTTTCAGGTATCCTCGTGACCGTAGGTATTCCCGGAGGACGGCACGTCGACGCGCGTCAAGCGTGTAGGTGGCAAAGGTGGAGAAGCGTCGCATCAACCAACTTCGAAACCGGCGGGAAGACATGACGCAACGCGGCCGACAGCGAATCGATTAAACACCGAAAAGCGGGAAGCGAATCGGCCTCAGTCGCGAAGTCGACCGCCGATCGATGAGAATCCACGCCTGACTGCGCCGAAGAAACGAACGTGCGAAAACCTTTCTTCCTCTCCGTCGGCACCGCGCGCACAGCATCTCACGTTCTCACACTGATAACACATTTGCGACGTACATTCGCAGTAAACGGCGAAAATGGCTCTCTTCCGGAAGTTCAACGGTAAGTGCTGGTCAATTGATTATTAACTGCATAACGAGCCATGATTTGATCTAACTATCCCACATTTTTGGTCACATTATTATGATCTCTGGTTTTATCGATTTTTACTTTTATTATTCTATTTTATTCTATGAATATGTACTAATCTATTATCTTCATTATTAAATATGAAGATTCTTCGAAACTGGAATCATATTGTTTCAGTATTTATAATTGATATACTGGTTATTTCGTAAGCGCCATATGCGGTGTGTTATAAATGCAAATGTACCTTCGACTATAATAAAGTCGTATAATCTTACTTTTATACGGACATTATTTTTGCGTGCTAAGAGACAGGTATTTAATATCTATATATAATATTCCGAATATGTGAATTTAAAAACAGTACCGGTTTCAATTTTTCGCTAGTAAATATCGATAGGTCAGTGTTCAATATTTTCGCTGATATATATTGGCTAGTATCCCTGGGACTTCAGTAAACAAATTCCAAAGTCGCATATATGCTTTCCTCACAGTCAAATATAGAATAGAAATAATGAGACAAATGCATAACTGACTTGGTCACATAGAGAGAAAATGCAATTGCACGTAGTTGAAAAGAACTGCAACTTGCCTCGTGTATCGATATTCATTTTAATATGAGAGACACGTGTTTTTATTTGTACCAACATATTTTTTTAGCAAAAATCATTCCCAGAAAAAAAATGTATCTCTGTCTCGACATTATTCTTTGGAGGAGACTCTATGAAGTGATTTTTATAAATATCGTGCAATTAGCAGTGTGTCGATTTGCATTATTCCATTAGTTACAAGATTTCCTAAATGATAAGCATCATTGGAAATGATAAGCATTACATAATCGCCTGAGTGCGCGCGGGCAATTCATACAAAAATCGCGCATGGATTGATAGCCGACGCATGATATCGAGCGACACACGCACGACTTCACGACGTAACAACGTTACCGAACGGAAATTCAAATTAGCAAACATTGCGCATCGTATTATGCGAACGCGTATACGCGTCACGTGTAATGCATCGGTATTTTTCCGACATAGCTTCATCCAAGCGCTTCCATCCAAGTCTTAAATTTCGTACAAACTATCTGTAACACGAGCTGCTATTTTGCGACGTTCACTTTGCAGAAATAGACCTATGGAGTAGGCACATTGCTCGTCCACGGTCATCTAACGCTGGCACATTTTCTGTTCTTAAAAAAATATCTGTATATAATACGCGCGCGAATCAATATTTATAGTACGCACGATTTATCAAAGTAGATCGATATGTACAGAGTGCGCCAGAAACATCGATCTAAATCTTTAACGATGATTTCTCTTTGAAAAACTGTGAGCCGGATAATACAATGAAATTGAAAAGAGTCGATTTTTTTATTCAGGTTTTTATAAAATTGTATAAAAAGTTATCACACACATTTATAATTTTTTGCTTGTTAAGATTTGAATTCTTTGACAATCTTAAATTAAAATTTTTTAATTTTTACTTTGAGCAATAATTTTATAAGGAAAAAAATACAATTCTTTATTTTTTCTATTCCTTAATATTATTTCGACAATGTAATTGTCGTTTAATTAAAATGATTAAAAATAAAATTTAATTTTGAAGCTATAAGCTGTAAGAAAGAATTTAGTTTTTTTTTATGTAGGACATTTAAATTTAATTCAACAGATTTCTTATCAGCAAAATAATTGCAACAGTAGGTTTTGGACACACTATATATTTATAGCTGTACGAACAGGATGTTAATGAGGTGAATGACTTACATTTAATGCGTACGAAATTGCCTGGAAGACTATGGCCTAGTTTACACCGATCTCTTGATACGCGTATCAAATAGTATATTTGAACTGATCAGCCAATAATCAGACTTATTTACTAGTTATTTACTATTTAATACGCGTATCAAGTGATCGATGTAAACTAGGTCTATGCCGTAAATGTGATCTTCCTGTCTGAATCTATATATATTTTCTATGAGATCTCTGTGTGAGTGAATGAGCGAAAGAGAGAATGTGTGTGTTAGTATTAATGTTAGTATTAGTGTGTTATAAATATTATTGTGATTCACATGTGACCTACGAGTACGTAATTATCATGTACGATAAAAAAATATTATATTCGGGGCGCGATGATTCAAAATATAGCTTGTTTTGTCGTATTGCGTAATGCGTTACATATACATATACTTGCTTTGCAACTTGATACAATTTAAATTGCAGCTTGCGATTTGTATTTGCATACGTCATTTCGTAGTCGTAAATAACACAACGTCGCGTACTTTTGTCGATTTAAATGTTCTCTGACCTTTGAACACACGTGTAGTTGCTCGAATCAATAACATAGAAAATATACGAATATTACGAAAATATCGCAAACAACATTAGAAGAAAATAGATACAAAGAAATCAGATATTGCATTGAATTATTCACTAAACTGTAATTCGTTAAAGAATCGATTATAAATAAAATTAAATTCCTAACTACAAAGCATAATAACTGTTTCAATTAAATCAAGATTACAAGATAATATACTAATAATTTTATTTATTATTGAAATAAGTTTGTAAGTAGGTATAATCTTTTATAGTAAAGAAGTCTTTAATTTATTTTATAACTAAATAATATTAACAAGAGTAATTATTTGACCAAACTGACGTTTAATATCGTAGTATTACATTAATTCGACGTTTCGACACTAGTTTTGTGTTCTTATCAAGAGTTTACTGTCCCATACTAAAGATTAGCCGCACATAAATTTCTTGCAGTTTTAACACTTTGTCAAATTTCAATATGTGAAGGAGCCGCGATCCATCCTTATTTAATCGTGCGATGTAGCACCGAATTAAGACATAACCGGAACAGAGACATGTGAGAACCGTTGTTCCGAGTCGAAGGACGGCGTTAGTTTAGTCAAATAATTACTCTTGTTAATTAATTTTCACTGGCGAAGAAAAGAAGTTTATATTTTAAATAATATTAAGTTTTTTTAAGTAAATTTTATCAAATTGAATAAAACTTAATTTGTTACAATTTATTTAAATAATAAATTAAATTTTAACTAAAATTTAATTTATCTACTAAACTACTTATATGATTAAAAAGTGATAAATTATATTTTATATTAAATTTTTATTAGAAAAAAATTAATCCCGAATTTATTGATAAATCTGTAACTGTTTAATCTATAAACGATTTATATGTCAGAAATATCCCCAGGTAGCACGTTTCAGAAATGTTTTATAAGCGTTTTTCCGAAACGTGTTTTATAACCGATTTCTAGAAATGTTTCTCATGAGTAAAAATGTTCATTCGAAAAACGTTCAATGGAACATTTCTTTTCCGATAAAATAACGTTTAAAAAACTATTATAGAAATGTTTTTTGTTTTAATGATAAAGACATTTAAAATTCCTACTTTTCACGTCTTTTGAACGTGTTTATGACATCTTTGAGACATGCGTGAGAATGTTCTAGAAGCTTTATGCATATACCATCTATGACGTTTATTCTTTTTTGAAGAAATTCCTGAATTGGTGCACATTCGTGCAATAAGTTAAAGTGAAACAAAATATACTTGTCTCACTCTAACTTAATTGGATTACTGATGTGCACCAGTTCAGGAAGTTCTTCAAAACGGAATACATGTATAAATGTTCTTTCAATGCACAATGGCCACGTTCAGCAGAACGTTTATTTTGCAACTGTTGGAAGTTTTTCTAAGCTCAGATTTGTCCGATGACAAATAGATTAAGACTGGTAGGAAAAAATTAATTTAAGTAAATATAAGTGGATATATGTGCATGGATAAAATAATTTATTTTGTGCAATAATTAGTGCAATATAAATTTAAATGTTTCAAAAAAGGCTATTAAAGCTATTATATATATAGATAATGCAAATTATAATTTTGACAAAAATTTAACAAATAGGTATTTTTGTTATCTGTAGAAATGTAAAAAATACGTTTCTTAAATGGTTTTAAAAACATTTTTGTTTAAACGTTTTTTTAATGGTTTTTTACGGTTATGAAACTATGAATACGTTTAAAAAACGTATATGAAACTAATATGTACTACCTGGGTATATTGCATGCTCATATCAGAATGCAAAAATAATATTAAACCAAATCAGTTTGATCTTAACAGTTAGTGATTTAAAAACGAAAATATTACATCATGCGACATGGAAATGGTAAAAAATGTCTTAATGTATAACACTATAAGCAGTGAGCTATCGATTAAATTCCCGTTCATCGTGCTCCGTAATTATCAATAATTCAATAAGACTACGTGCCATCATTAATATGAGAGAGAAGTAAAATTGTTCGACCAGGTACGCAGTTACGTATCATGACCTTCTGTATTTGCGTCAATGCTTTTCCTTGAACGGGATTCTCTTGAAATATGGTCAGGGTTGTCTGCGAGTATTAACGAGTTGCATCCTAATAAGTACATCAGGATAATTAAGTTTGTAGTTTACAAAGTTTTCAAACATAAAATATCATCAACCATGTGTTTCAGTGAGATACTATGCATATTACATTATGGTTAAATTCTAATAATAGAAAAAAAGATAATGCAATAATAATAAAATTATTAATACATTAACTTTATCAAAAATAAAGTAATCTTATTAAAAATAACAGGAATAATTTTATATAAGTTAATGCCTCAGAAAATATCCTTCTATTCTTATTATATCCTTATCTTGTTTTTTTTTTATGATATATATCACAAGATGAGCACGTACTTGCAGCTGCACTATTTTCGTTGGATATCAAGTACTTAATAGAACACAAGATGTTTATTGTCGAAGATATATCGTTTATTCTTGATTTAAGATTATTAGATATTATGTGCCGATTCAAAGGTCATTCTCGACTCTGCGTTATAGCGGACAGAAATGCCTCGCGTTATACGATGTCCACTCTCGTATTATTCCGACATGATATATGTATATGTGACTACTTTAATAAGAAAATTAGTATAGTAAACATTGCAAAAGGTTTAATAACCGTAATAGTAATAATGATGATTAGAATAAAACAATAATAATGATAACTTACAACTTAAAAATATCATAGCTTCGTAAACTTATAATCTAAGCAAAATGTGAAATTGCAATATATTTTAATAACAATTATAAACTTGTTCAATGAAAAGTCTTTTAGATATCGAATTATTTATTAAATCACACATTATTATAAATTGCTAACAAATTATTATTATAAGAAAAATATCGTAGCAAATCGATATAGTTATCCTACCTGACTCTCTAGCAACAGGTATTCACGTGTGTTACAGAGAAAATCCCTCGAAGAGGGATCCTGGGGGCGATGATGTTTCTAGCTTGCATGTTTTCGTACGTCATTCGTACCAATTTATCCATAACCATTGTCGCCATGGTAAACACTACAAGCAAAGACGGTGGCGTCGGGCCAGCATGCACTAGAATAGCGGATATGAAAAGCAATAAGACCGTCGTGCTCAAAGATGTAAGTCTGCGCGTGTTTGTAAAATTTGCATAAATGAATGTATTATCAATCCAACGTAACTATTAATAAAAATATTGTGAATAATATGACATTATACATCATAGAATGCAATACGCTCACTGCGAGCATTTTTTTTTTATCAGTAGATATTTTTTCATGTAATATAGAGTTTTCTTATCGTAGAGAGAGCATGTCCCGCAACTATATAAATATATTTTTTTTCTTACATTTTAGTTTGGGGAGCGTTTCGAATGGAATCAACATATCCAAGGCCTGTTACTATCAGGATACTTTTACGGTGTTCTGCCGGCTAGTGTACCAGCTGGACTCTTAGCCGAAAAATACGGAGGCTCTAAAGTTGTGGCGTAAGATATTAAAATAGTTAAAATAAATTAATTACTGTCTAATTGTTTATCTACACGATTACATTATACTCACTTTTTACCTTCATGATTTTAGATTCGCTACATTGATACCTGCAGTATTAAATCTTCTGATGCCTTGGGCTGCTACTGTCCATTACGGTTTTGTTTTTGCACTCCGTTTTGTTATGGGATTTTTTGGAGTAAGTTCTAATTACTAATTAATCTATACGTCTTTTCTAATTGTAAGAAAGATTATTATGTTTAATAACATTATGTAAACCACATAAATTTTCAAATCAGATATATAAGACTCCATTAAGAGTAATATATTAATTTATAGGGTGCCGTTTATCCCGCTCTCCATGCGATGATTGCCAGATGGGTGCCTCCTGGTGAGAAAGGCATGTTTGTGTGGACTATGCAAGGTACTATTCTTTTATCTCTTTATCTCTTTAATAGAAAATTTTCTCGAGAATATATGTATTCATGTGTACTGTTTTTTTCTTTAAAGGTGGTCCATTCGGAACCGTGGTAACATTCGCCTTATGTGGCGCAGTAATCAGTGCTTACGGGTGGACAACTGCATACTACGTTACAAGCGGACTTATGTTAGTTTTTTATGCTTTGTGGGTATTTCTAATATACGATACACCGGAGTTGCATCCTAATATCACGGAGAAGGAGAAAACGTACATAAAAGAACAAATAGGCACTTCAGTCTCAAAACAAAAGGTATGATATACATTTGTCAAATAAAATATTAAATAATAAAAAATACTATAAATAAGGAATAATTATAAAATAAACTAATAATGCTTATATCTTTTGTCCACAGGTCCAACTACCGGTGAAAGCAGTCGCTACATCTCTACCGTTCCTAGTATTATTGTGGGCCCACTTTGCAAACATGTGGGGTATTTATTTCATCGCTACAAACGGACCTAAATACACGTTGGAAGTCCTCGGTTTTAATATGAAATCGGTATTGTTCTCGTGATTTTGTTTTATGAAGAAACTTCAAGATTGTAACATTTTTATCTTGTCATTACTAAAAATGTTCCTAATATTTTATGTATAGGGGGGCGCAATAACTGGATTACCATACATAGCTAGACTAGGGGCTGGAGTGTTATTTGCAGCGGCAGGCGATTATGTGCGAAGGAAGAAATTCTTATCTTTAGGTTGGATAAGGAAGATATTTATGCTTTTCTGTAAGTAATCTGACACGGTTACGTCTGTTGTAACTTTGGAATTGAGACATTAAAATGTATGTATCTAGACAATTGTTATCTAACCGATAATTCACAAATATGACTGTTAACAGCTCACTTGGGACCTGCAGCTTGTCTGATAGCGATGACATACGTGGGTTGCGATGCTACAACTGCGATGATAATGTTAATACTGGCGTTGGCCTTCAATGGGGCCGCCTGCCAGACTAGCTTACAGAATCACCAAGACTTGGCACCGAACTATGCCGGTTCCTTATACGGAATTATGAATACATTTGGCAGTTTCCC